TCTGTCAGCCAGGGCTCCCTGATTAGACCGGACTAATTGCTCCAATCAGGAAACTCATATTCTATGATGTACACCTAGCTGACCTCGTTATAATTATTACAGATATATGAAAAAGGGAATAGATAAAAGCCTGGAAGATGAAACCAGTCTCAGGAACAGTGACCTTGGATGTATGGTCGACCGTTGTAGAAATACACCTGATTTATTAATATCCTGTAGGGAAGGAAATCTGCTGTTCTTGCCTAGTCTGGCCTACGTGTGACTCCAGTCCCACAGCAATGTGATTAATTTTTAACTGTCCTCTGAAATGGCCGAACAAGCTACTCAGGTCAAAGGGCTGGTAGGATGGGCAACAAATGCTGGTCTTACCACTAATGCCCATATCTGGTGAAAGGGAAAGAATATTTTGTTTTAATGTATTCTCTGGATGTGATTTGCATTGTCAAAGTTGATACTTAATACCTGTACCTGGCTCCCTTGGAGATTGTCAGCTAGATGTTGTGGGTCTGGGGTCACATGTAGGCTGTACCACATGAGAGGCAGATTTCCTTCTCTAAAGGACATTAGCGACTAGGACACATCTAAAGTTGCAATTCAAGAAAGTGGTCACTCATCAGAAACTTATCAGAGAATTACATTTGAAACAGCCCTTTTGTTGTTGAAATTATTATGGGAACAGGAGTTGGTCATTCAGTTCCTTGAACTTGTATTGTATTGATATTTGGGGCAACACGGTGGCTCAGTGGTTAGCACTGCTGCCTCACAGTGCTAGGGATCTAGGTTCGATTCCACCTTCAGGCGACTGTCCATGTGGAGTTTGCACATTCTCCCTGTGTCTGCGTGGGTTTCCTCCAGGTGCTCTGGTTTCCTCCCGCAGTCTAAAGATGTGCAGGTTAGGTGTATTGGCCCGGGAAAATGCAGGGTTACAGGGATAAGGTTGGGTCTGTGCCTGGATCTGGATGGGATGCTCTTTGGATGATTGGTGTGGAATCGATGGACTGAATGGCATATTTACACACTGTACAGATTCTATGATATTGAATTCCATCTGTATCCAAACCCCATGAGCCTGCCTTGATTCTTTAACTCTCAATGCCTTTCCCCTTAATTCTTCACTACTTTGCCCAACGACAACCTGTCAATCTTAGTTCTGTAATTTTCAGCTGGCCCCAGCCCCAGTAAATTTACAGAGGAGTGTGTTAACAATTCCAGATGGTCTTTAAGTGAAGAAGTGTTTCCTGATCGTATCAAAGGAGATACCGTATGAACGTCCATGCAGCCTGTCCTTGTGATTTGACGTTTTCACTGCTCAGCTGGGAGAGCCAGATTTTGTCCATTCCTAACTTGTGCTGCCTGTGAGTCTGAAACATTACTGGTACCAGTGTTAAATGTTGTTTTGAGCAGGCACCATTCAGTAAATGTTGATGGTCTCACTTCACATTGAAATGTATTAATTTTGCCTTGAGTAATTACTTAGCTACAAGAGGAGGCCACTCGAGGCATTTTCAACATTCAGTCTTACAGATTTGCAGATCCATTTGCTCCAATTCCCTTGAAATCCTTAACCTATGGTTTGGAAAGAAAATCTAACACCCCCTGTCTTGAAATCTCCATTAATTCCAGCTAAAAGTAAAGGGTCTAGGTATAGTGACACCACCTTTTACCAGTCAAGGTGATAATAACTGGCTAAGTCACCCACCAAACTCTGTTGTTAGTGACTGGCTTTGATTTCATGGACTGAATTCGAACTGTGTAACTGCTGCATATTGCTTGGGAAATCAGCCTGCTCTTGCTAAGATACATTGCTGTAGTTCTGGTTGTGAGCTACATTTGCAGCAGTTCTCGGTGACTCTGTGTACCCTATAAGTTACATCCTGCCTTCATCTCATAGAATCCCTACAGTGCAGGTAAAGGCCATTTGGCATATTGAGTCTGCGCCAACCCTCCGAAAGAGCATGCCACCCATAACCCCACATTTAGCATGGCCAATCCACCTAACCTGCACATCTTTGGACTATGGGAGGAAACCGGAGCACCTGGAGGAAACCCACACAGACACGGGGAGAACATGTAAACTCCACACAGACAGTCACCTGAGGGTGGAATCGAACCCAGGTCCCTGGCACTGTGAAGCAGCAGTGCTAACCACCGTGCTGCCCCACTGTGCCGCTCATTGGCTGAAACTGTGGTGTCAATACTGACTTCAAACAATAAAAGTTGTTTGACTTCTGCAGCAGCTTACTGAGCAAAACGAGGGGCAATGCTGACCATTGCAGTGTTATGCTTCTCCCTTACATATTTGTCACTGAGTCCCACACTGAGAGCATTACTCTTCCAGCAGTAACCAGAGCCTGTCAATCAAGTGACCAGCTGTATTTTCAAAGACTTTTCTCCCAGATTCTATGGTCTCCCCTCTCTCTGTAGGTTTGCTTCCCTCTACAAATCCCCAAGTCAGAAAGAAGCAACTGTACCATACCAGATTACTGTGAGTACCATGATTGTGTTTTTAAATATCGTGCACACATTAGGTGCTAATTTTTGTTTCAGACAAATGTAGGTGAGTGGTGTCGATGCTAGGAGTGGCAGTGCAGTTGTCAAATATAAGAAATGTTTGGAGGGATATAGGCCAAACACAGGCAGGTGGGACTAGTTTAGTTTAGGATTATGGTCACCGTGGACAGGTTGGACCGAAAGGTCTGTTTCTCTGCTGTATGATCCTATGACTCTGCATTGAGTACTCCCAGTTCTGGAATAGTATTGGGCACTGAGGAAGTAAGAGAGAGATAAGCTGGGTTGCAGTAAGTGGGGAAGGAATGAGAGTTTGTGAAGTGAGTGAAGATGAGAGGAGCAGGAGTGGGACATGTCAGAGTTTGGAGGGATGATTACAAAGTAAACCGGGAAGAGAGAGTGAGATTTGAGGATTTGAGATCTTGCCTTTCAAACAGCCAATTTATAATACAATCAAAATACTGCAGATACTGGAAATCTGGAATAAAAAAAACAAATCACTGGAGAAACTCAGCAGGTCTGGCAGCATCCGTGCAGAGAGAAACAGAGTTAACATTTCAAGTCCAGTCTGATGATTCTTCAGAAATAATGTGGAGGTGCCAGCATCGGACTGGGTTTGACAAAGTCAGAAGTGACACGACACCAGGTTATAGTCCAACGGGTTTATTTGAAATCGTAAGCTTAGGGAGCGCTGCTCCTTCGTCAGGTGAAGTGACTTCATCTGACGAAGGAGCAGCGCTCCAAAAGCTTGTGACTTCAAATAAACCTGTTGGACTATAACCTGGTGTCGTGTCACTTCAGACCTTCTTCACAAATAAACAGCATTCTTTGTTCAAAGGTTTGCAGTCTTGGAGCTGGATTTACTTCGTTGCTCTCTCTCCTCTCCATTGTTTCATTTTCAGTCACTTGGCTTTCGGGACATCCAATCATCACAGCCGGTTTCAACATCGCTCAACAATGGGGACAACCCACGTAAACGTCCAAGGAACGATGATGATGACGACGATGGACAGTGACACAGGCCAGTCTGGAGATCTGCCCACTTCAGCTAGTGGTTTTCAGAGACACCGTGGGAACCCAATGTGGCAGTTGACTGGATCATTTCTTGCCCCTCCCCTGCCCCCTGCCCAAGATATCCAATCATGTAGCTCAATGTGGGCTACCTCCGGTTCTGACTGTGTGAACTCTGATAATAACCTGCTGTTGGTCATATGAATCCAGTTAGATTGGAATATTAAAAGTGACAACTCAAAGAGTTAGGAGCCACCAACCCACACTGGCTGAACCTCCTCTTTGGTGAGCTCCCTATCTCAGCCACATGGTAGTCGGGAGTCACAGAGCAGCAGTTACCAGTGAAATTCAGGACTTTTCTTGGACCCTGTAAGTTACTTAAAACCGTGAACCCCATTTTAATCTTCACCCCATCCCTGGTCATTATCCTTTTCCATCAGGAGTCAAACTCACCGCCAATCTTTTAAAGACTCCAGAATCACACCGAATTTGAGAGATTTTCTCACTTGTTGAAACCCTTTTGCCACCTCTCTGGATTCAAGTTGTCGTACTGTTCAGTGGTAAATGTTCCTTTTTCTTTCCTGTTGGGCTTCCTTTTAAGTAAATGTATTTTGTAACTAAGACTCTCCCACTTTGTTTTTTCTCCTGCTGTTCCCTGTACACTTCTCACAGTCTGTGTCATCCATTTCTGCACGAGCCCCATCATTGTTTGTCATAGAAAACCCATGCTCATCGCTGAATGGTCCAAAGATGTGGATGCAAAATCCCTCTCTCTCTAACTTTACTACTGCCTGAAAGAGCAGGCAGGGCTTTGAATAAACACCTCCGACAGCGTACTCCTCAAAGCCACACCAGAGTACATGCTTAAGACTGGATTTGATACCATGACCTTCACAACCCAGAGCTGAGAGTGCTGGCCACAGAAGCTGCCTCTTCCTCTGGGTTGGCAGTGAAAGGTTGCGAGGAGTTAAATGATTGGATGCGAACCTGGGGGCTGCTGTATGAAGACCTGATGACAATCTGTGCTTGCTTTGTTTCTGGTGGGCTTAGAGGGCGAGGGGGAGAAAAAAGCCTGAACTTTGCTTCAGGAAATGAGACATGAGGCAGAAAAACAAGTGCTGGAGTGTAGTCTGTTGTCACTTGATGAAATTTCGCCTGTTGTGCAGCTCTGAACAAATTGGATTTTAGAATCCATGCGAAAGATAAATCATAGCTAACACAACACTTTCTCTTAGTCATCGGTGCTGTGTCATAAACCTAAGGCTATTTGAAATTAATAGACTTGAAGAATGCAGTACAGGCTGCTGTGTAGTAGAATTCAACAGCACAGATAGAAGCCATTTGGCCCACCATTCTCCTGCTATCTCAGAGTGAGTTACCCAGTTGGTTCCCCACTCCCTGCCCTTTCCTCAATAAAACCATAAATTTCTTACCCAACAACTTATCTGATTCCCTTTGGAAAGTTATTGCTGATTCTGCTTCCGTGACTTTTTCACACAGCACATCCCAGAGCACTCCCTACAGAAAATACATTTTCATATTCTTTCCTCTTACTTTCTTCGGTTACCTTAGATGAGTGTCCTCTGGTTAGTGATCCTACAGCTGGTGGAAACCGTTTCTCCGCATTGACCCTTACCAATCCTTCTCATTGTTTTGAACATCTCTGTTAAGTTTTACCTTCACCCCGGTCTTTAGGAGAACAAACCTAAGCTTCTCCGATCTCTTCTGCGAACTGAAGTCCCTGGTGTCATATCGGGAAAGCTTCCTGTGCACTCTCTCTGAAGCCTAGACGTCTTCCCTGAAGTGCTGTGTCCAAAGTCATTGTGTTTGTAGCCACCGCTGGGTGTGGCAACTCTTCCTCGGCCTTTTCAGATGTGATGTACAAATAACCTTCCACAAGATTAGGGAATTTAGTCAACAGGAATGATTGCTCATTCTTGACTAGATTCGTAAAGAAAAAAACTCTGTTCTGTAGCAGCTGTGGTGCCAATTTACTAAAGGGCTTCTACCAATTATTAAACACACTGCCACCAAAATGCAGCCCCATCAAATTTCAGAAGTGAAAAGCAATGTATTCATTCACTAATGTGATTCAGTGAGATTTAACTGCTGTCTTGAATCCAAACTGCCTGTCAAACCTCTGTGTCTGTTGCAACTGTGTTATGGGGTCATCAGCACAGATGAATCACAATGTCTGTTTCGAATGGTGGCACTTTATCTTGGCATTGGGAATACACACTCCATTCCAAAATTGAACACTGTTCTCCAACTGATGTCCAACAAATCTGTCATCTGTCACTGTACAGAATGTCTTTGGAAAGTCCACATACAGAATTTGTAATTTTTTTTCTTTAATGGGATGTGGTTGTTGTTGGCAAGGCTAGCTATAGTTGCTGGTCCCTAATTGCCCTTGAACTCAGTGACTTGCTGGGACATTTCAGAGAGCAATAAAGAGTCAAGCATGTTGCTATGGATCTGGAGTCACATGTAGGCCAGACCAAGTGAGGATGGCAGATTTCCTTCCCTGAAGGACATTAGTGAGTCAGATGGGGTTTTCCGACAATCAACAATGGTTTCATGGTATCAGTATTCAGTAACTATCGATATGGTCAAGGGCCCATAAAAATGTTCCGATGAAAGATCATGAGTCTGAAGTGTTAGGGACATTGGAACAGGAGTAGGCCATTCAGCCCATTGAGCTACCCCGTCATTCAATTCGATCATAGCTGAGCAAACACTTTACCCACTGTATCACCAAAGCCCTGGAGACCCTTAGTACACGGAAACCTGTTTCTCTCTCTAGACATATTGCTTGACCTGCAGGATGTTTTAAGCATTTTGTATTTTTATTGCAAAATATACAGCATTTATATAGCACCTTTCATGATGTCCCAAGGCATTTCACAACAAATTGAGATAACAAGGTGTAGAGCTGGGTGAACACAGCAAGCCATTTTCTGAAGAAGGGTCTAGGCCGGAAACGTCAGCTTTCCTGCTCCTCTGATGCTGCTTGGCCTGCTGTGTTCATCCAGCTCTACACCTTGTTATCTCAGATTCTCCAGTATCTGCAGTTCCTACTAACTCTTACAACAAATTGAGTCTTTTTCTGATTTAGTGACTGTTGTCATGTAGGAGATTTGTTTTTCTTTAGTTAAAGGCTGCATTTAAATCTGTCTAGTTGAATGAGGGAGTAATGCTGGGGTCAGCAGTCGAAAACTCCAGGCTGTCATCTGAACATCACAATCTATTTCACTGTGATCAAATTACCATTATTTGAATTCATGTCTAGCCGTGGCCAAACAATAGTGTATAAACATTTAAATAAATATGTCACAATAGGTTCAACAAAATTACATATACGTTCAATTCTCACTTCCCAGCTGGAGGTGCATTCCTCTTGATCTCATTGAGATACAGTTGGATCAAGTCCAAAACCAGTGACCCCGTCTGCCATTTCAATGATTAGTGCTTTTCTACCGTGCCTCATCTCAATGTGGGAATGCCTCAAGGCATCATGTTACCTTACAAGTGCAGAGGCTGTTGTTGCTGTGCAGATAAATGAGGCAGCTGTTCTGAGCTGCCAACATCCTGTGTATGAAAGACACAGTGAATCTACTGTAGTAGAGGAAGGGTCCCGACCCGAAACATCAACTTTCCTGCTCCTCTGATGCCTCCTGGCCTGCTGTGCTCCTCCACCCCCACACTGTGTTATCTCTGACTCCAGCATTGGCAGTTCTTACTGTCTCTGAGTGAATCTGCTCTAAATTTGTGGTTGAGGAAAGAATGTTGGCCAGGAGAATTTTGTGTTCTTGTTGAAGTAAGACCAGTAATCTTGAACAGCACCAGAATGGCAGAGGAGTACCTTGGTTTAATATCTAATCTTCATTTTGCATACTACTGGAGTATAGTACTTACGAAAAAGTGTCATACTGGACTCGAAACATTAATTTTGCACGCATCAAGACATCCCCAAGATTACCAGTGTAGAGGGGAACAACATTTTATGCTGGGCAGAATAGCCTGCTTCCACACTGTAGGGATTCTATGAAGAGGTTGCTGATTGTTTGGAATCTGATTGGTACAGGTGTTATTGTGGAGATGCCCCTGTTGGATGATCACTGACAGTTAACTGCTAAGCATTGTTTGAATTTAAACTCGATAGGTTGACTCTAATTGATCAAACTATTGCCCTGAGGAATGAACCAGAGAATGGCTGGGATATATGTTTATATAACTGTATACAATATCTGAGTCAAAATGTAACCTGATCCATTTGCCCCAGATATAAAGACAAAGTTGCCTATGTTTGAGTGAGATATCTCACACTTGTTAGCTTGTAGTTATAAATCTGAGGTTGTTGCCTAGAATATTGGCCCCATCAGGCAGATGTAGGAGCAGGTACAATTGCAACATTTAAAAAGACATTTTAAATGAATATTTAAAAGGTACATGAATAGGAAAGATTTAGAGGGATATGGCCAAACGCAGGAAAATGGGACTAGTTCAGTTTAGGAGACCTGGTCAGCATGAATGAGTTGGGCCAAAGGGCCTGTTTCCATGCACTATGACTTTATAACTGTATGTAAAATGGCCCAATTTCTCTGGAAAGAAGAGCAGGTTGCATCTTCTTGGTGTCCTGACTGACATCTATCCCTCCACCAACGTTAGGAAAAGAGTTCATAAGTTTATGGCGGTTTGTGGGCATTTGCTGCACACAGATTGGTTGTTGCATTCACTGCAATACAACAGGAAAAAATGACTAAAAGGGATAAATTGGATGTAACGTGTTTTAGCACATTGTAAGGTTGTGAAGAGCACTACAGGAATATTTGACGGAATGACAGTACTTCCTTCAGCGCTGGACTAGAATGTCAGGTGAGATTAGAGGCAATGGAGGAGGTCTTTAACCCACAGCCTTCTGACTCAGAAATGAAAGTGCTACTAATTGAGTCAAGGCTGAAAGCAATGTTTAGTGAAGAGTAATCCATTGAATGGGATGTCCTAAAGCTGTGACCAAACACTTTATTAAGGTGCCGTCACTCTTATTCCCTCATAGGGTATTCCATGTCATCCTATCATTTTAATCTGTTAGCTGCCCATTTCTGGAATTACTTCTCTAATTCTTCTCCATTCACCTTTTTGTGAGCATTAATATATTTATGAGGAAGCCTAACATGTCATTGAGGGAGGAAGGAATTGTGGTCACTTCCTTGGTCATCTCCTACATCAAGCTGTGCATGAGACAGATAAAGCACATGCTGTTCTCTGTTTCCATGGCTGTTTTTTTTGCCCCTGGTGGAACAGGTCTCCAGCCTGTAGCTTGAAAGAGTGCTACTCCACATGAAGCATGATTCTGACCAGCAGACCTCCCACTCTCTCCATGAGTGTATCACAAGGGTTTATATCTTGGTTATTTGCCTCAGAATCCTATTTATTTCAATAAGACCAACTCTTGTTCTGCTAAAGTCTAATGGATACAGGCCTAAACTGTCCACCCTTTCTTCATAAGAAATCTACCTGATCTCAGCAAGCAGTCAAGTGAACCTTCTCTGAACTGCTTCTTATGCAGTTATGTCCTTTCTTAAATGGGGAGCCTGAGACTGTACACAGTACTGTAGATGTGGTCTCACCTACGCTCTGCACAATTGTAGAAAAACATTCTGACTTTTACATTCTATTCCGCTTGTAGTACGTAGCAAATATTCATTTGCCTTCCTAATCACTAGTGGTACCTGCAGAACATGTTTTTCTCAACTCCAGACATCCAAATTCTGTACTTGCGTACCTACCAGTTGATTTTTAATTTCAATTTTCAAAGTCAAGGATATGGTTTTACAAGATCCAGTGACTGGGAAGCGAGCATGTGTGAGGTGGAGGTGTGTGCCTATTGTGGAGGTAGTGCTGTGTGCACGTGTCTAAGGAGGAGGTGATGCACGTGCACACTTCTGTCTACAGAGGAGACTGCAGATGTGTATACTTATGTGTCAGCCGAGATAAGAGGCAATGGAGGAGGTCTTTAAGCCACAGCCTTCTGACTCAGAAATGAAAGTGCTAATATGTGTATGTATACACCACGTGTATGCACATTTCCGTAGGAGACTATACAGACATTCACTGCAAATGCCTATGTAGCAGACTGTACATCCGCAATATGTGTCTATGGGTGAGGCTGTACATGCACTCGTGAGTGTCTATGGGCAAGACTGAGCATGCGTGTATGTGTGTCTGTGGGTGAGTCTGTACAGATTGTATATTTGCAATGTCTATGGTAACACTACACATGCACATAGAGTCATAGAGCTGTACAGCATGGAAATACACTGTTCAGTCCAACTCGTTCATGCTGACCAGATATCCTAGATTAATCTGGTCCCATTTGCCAGCATTTGGACGGTAACCCTCTAAACCCTTCCTATTCATATACCCATCCAGATGCCTTTTAAATGTTGTAATTGTACCAGCCTCCACCACTTCCTCAGGCAGCTCATTCCATATACACACCATCCTCTTGTGTGAAAAAGTTGCTCCTTAGGTTCCTATTATATTTTTCCTCTCTCACCTTAAACCTATGCCCTCTAGTTTCAGACCCCACCCCAGGGAAAAACACCGTGTCTATTCATCCTATCGATGCCCCTCATGATTTTATAAACCTCCGTAAGGTCACTCCACAGCCTCCAACGCTCCAGGGAAAATAGCCCCAGCCTATTCAGCCTCTCCCAATAGCTTAAACCCTCCAACCCTGGCAACATCCTTGTAAATCTTTTCTGAACTCTTTCAAGTTTCAAATAGCAGTGAGGCCAAATTGCATTCCAAAAGTGGCCTAACCACTCAGCTAACATAACCTGCCAACTCCTATACTCTATGCACTGACCAATAAAGGCAAGCACACCAAACAACTTCTTCGCTGTCCTGTCTACCTGTAACTCCACTTTCAAGAAACCATGAACCTGCACTCCAAGGTTGCTTTGTTCAGCAACATTCCTCGGACCTTACCATTAAGTGCATAAGTCCTGCCCTGATTTACCTTTCCAAAATGCAGCACCTCACATTCATCTAAATTTAACTCCTTGGCTGAATTGCCCATCTGATCAAGATCCCCCGTTACTCTGAGGTAACCTTCATCACTGTGTGGTACACCTCCAATTTTGGTGTCATCTGCAAACTTTCTAACCATACCTCCTATATACAGCTGTACATGTGCCTATGAGTGTCGATGGGGGAGACTACATATGCACATGTGTGTCTAAGGGCCAAGGCTGTACACACGTGCACAAGTGTCTATGGGCAAGATTGTATATGTGCACACGCATGTCTAAGGGCGATGCACATGCATATAGATATAAAGGGGTCATGCTATGGGTTAGATCGTGCACGCGTTTGGTGAGAGGGAGACCGCAGACGCGAAGCGCGCACTGATTGATGCACTTGCGCGTGCACCCGTGGTTTAGAATGGGGCGCGCGTATGCGCACGGGGGTGGAAGGGAGAAGGTGGTGTGGTGCGCACGCCGGCAGCCGGGAGCGCGCACGCCCCCAAGTCCCAGTCTCTCTGTCTCTGTCTGTCTGTGCTCCGCTCTTCCCGGGTGAGCCGGCTGCTGCAGATCCGCTCGGGGGCTCCGGGAATGCGAAGCGATGGCAGCGTCGGCCAACGAGGAGAGCGCCTTCCGTAGGTTCCTGGAGCTGCTGCTGCGCCAATTCCGGGGCCCCTTCGGCGAGGAGGACCCTCTGCCCCTCCGGCCGGTCTCCAACCACATCACCGAGGAGGAGCTGGAGGGCGAGTGCCTGGACCTCTGCCTCCAGCATCTCTGCAGATAGTTAAGTACCGATTTTATTCAGACTTAACCCAGCCACCAGACCCAGTCTGTGCCTCCCAACCCCCTTCCCCATCTCACCTCAACACCCTGTGAGTGTATCAAATACCAGACACCCTATAAAGTGGGAGAGAGACAAGAGACAGAGCAAAAGTATTTAGGAATCTGAGACTAGAAGCTAAATTGGGCTGAATGTGAAGCTTTTATTTCTCTAGGAAACTAGGTTTTTTGTGGGGGAGGGTTTGGTGTTGCCTGGAGACAGTGGATGAGAGAATTAAATTGACCCTCAGAACGGTCCTGTCGATTGTAATTCGGAGAGAATCAATCCAGGTGTCTAAACAAGCAGAGTGCACAAGAGACAAGGCTGGTCTGACGAGTAAAATGTCATACGGGCAAGCGGGAGTTTGACATTGAAAAGCTGCTCGAAGTAACCCTGGAAAAGGGGGACAAGAGATAAGAGGGAATTGGACAGAGGGGTGGCTGTAAAAATGTGGACGCTCCCGTGTAAGAATTTGCAAAAAGAAAGTCAAGAGAACGCAGCAGCAATATATATAAACAAAAGGCACATTGCATTCCCTGTATTTACCGAAGCTTATTCA